TGAAATTATTAGGTTTTATATTAAGAGACGCACAAAACACATCACTTTTAATGGAGAAATGAAACAGAGTTGGAGGCGCAGAATTGGAGAGGGAAGGATTGGACAGCAGTAGAGACACGCACGTGTTCTTCGTGTAGATCGATTACTCTCTGTCTTTTTTTGTTCCATAATTCCTTATGGCTTCTTCTCCTTTTATCTATTGCTATTTGATTTTTAAAGTTACGGAGAACTAATTTTTTTAGCATGATTAATTATAAATCATTATTTTAAATTTTAATTAGAGTTTTTAATATTAAAAAAAATTTGTTTTAATTTTATTTCAATTTACTCTTCTTCTCTCTATCTTTAAATTTTATGTTTTAATTTCTATTATTAATTAAAGTAGCTATATTATATAATTTTTGGGTTATATCTTTTATTTGAGATTTTACTTACTATAGTCAATTGATATAATAACATAAAAGCAATTTGGCTTGACTTAGATGATTATTCATGCTTTATTTTTGGTGTGGTTAATATAGAAACAATTGTTAGGTTTCTAGGTTAAGAGAAATTTCAATTAACCCATGACTTAATTTCTTATTTAATTCTTGAATAATAATTTAGAAAATATACAATAAAGTTAGAATAATAAAGTTAAATAAATTTAATTTATTTTATGAATAAGGAAGATTAAGTTTAGGTGATTGAGTTGTAATTAATTATATTGCTTGTGCTTAATAATTTTCTCAATTAAACTTGCTTTATTTATTTAATTTTAATTTAGTTTTTTTAAAATAATTTTGTCATAAAAAAATTCTCTTTATTTAGCTTTTCATAATCCCAATTTAAGTAGTTAATCCATTGATTCTTAAGGAAATGATCTAGGTTGTGCTTTTCTGTAAAATTTAATTTTTATCAATTTTGATACTATTCAACAATGGTGTCATAAAGTGAAGACCTAACAATTTGAAATTATGCTCTTATAAATTTATTAATGGAGAAAAATAAAAAGGTTACAAAATTGAAAATCTAAATGGTTCATCGAGCTTCTATTCTCCTTCAAGTACCCAAAGTGATTTAGCCTTCAAGGTCATTCAAGTCCTCCATGAAAAGCTCCATAAGGCTGAAATTCTCCATGGAATCAAGTTGAGAATGAAGTATGAAATGGATGATCAAGTGAGCATGTGCAAAGGGGAGTGAGAGGAAAAGAATGGGAGTGATTTGATGAGGATCTAATAGTTAGATGAAGAGAAATGAAGGAGAGAATGTGGTGAAAACATGCAGAAAAGGGAGATAAAATGAAGAACAATAAAGAATAAGAGAAAGGATGTAAATGGAAAATGAAAGAGGTGATGAGAGATTGAGAAGTGACGGCTAAGTTTAATCCTTTTGGTGAAAATGAGCTGTATGGGGCATGAATTTCAGCTGCCAAAATGGGAGAAAATAAAAAACAAAAAGAAAAGAAAAGGCTAGGGTAAGGTACACATTTCCTACATGCTTAAATATGTGGCCTCCTCTCCTTTGTTCAAAAGGGAATATCCTAAATAAGAATATTCTCACTTATTTCATAAAATGATTTGATTATTTTTTCCCTTTTCAGCCCATAAATGATGCCACTATTTCCCTTTTTATCCCTCTTCCATGATTCTTGACCAATTTTGAAAAGTCCAAGTTCACATGTGCCACCTAAATTACAAAATAGACATAAAATCAAAGCTATTCATATGACTTAAAAATTAAATTCTTGCCCATAGAATTAATTAAATATCTAGGAAAATATTAATGAAGTAAAATCCAAGGGTAGTGACATGTAAAAGCTCATGCATGTCCATACAAGCACATAAAACCCTAATTTAATCACATAAAGTCAATAATCCCAAAATATAAATTTTATTTTATAACTCCTAAACCAAATTGAATTTTAAAAAATTGATTTTATATTCATTATTTTGGGCATAAAATACATGAACACAACATTAACCCAATTTTTTATAAAAAGTGTAATTTTGGACCAAAATACCCCTAGGGTACAATTTTTGCTTAGGCAATTTTCTTGCTTTTGACACCATGAATAAACCAAAATAGAGAAAAAAAAGTAAAATGAGTCCTAAATGAATGGATAAAGTGTGTAAAATATGAGTATTATCAGTAACTCTTTCTAAAAACAAAAGGGTTGAGGTAATAGGATAATTTATACTATCTATTAACTAGTTTAACTATTTATAAGTAAAGTTTTGTAATATAAAATATATGGTTGTGCATTGATATGATTGAAACTTGCATGATTTTGGAAATTGAAATGAGTTTTGAATTATAACTGATGTTTATTAAAAGAAATTGTTTTAAAAGCTAATTGTGAAAAGTATTAATATGGTATAATATAGAGATTGTATATTATATTTGAAAAGACATGATCATAATAGAGGGTGAGAGGTTACCATATGTGAAGTAGTAAAAAGTCTATATGACATGATTGACACCTTGGAATGTCAGGTGCAACTTATATTCTCCTTAATACTTGAAAGAGTGTGCTGTTAGAGAATTTCTTTCCTTAATACTAAAATGGATGCAGTATTGGAGACTATGCTCCTTAGTATTTAGAAGATACGATATTGGAGTAATGACGTCCCAATTGCGTATGAGATAAGGGGAATCCATAATTTAAAAATGAGATAGAACACCTTTAGTCAAGTGATTCTAAGTGAGCTCAGATTAGTTTATATAGAATTGGTCTATTATAGCCTATGAATTCAGTCAGAGGTGGTAGATGCGGAGGTTCAACTGGATAGGATGATCATGCATGTGATAAAAATCATTTAAGAATATGTACATATATATATATATATATATTAAGAGGTGGTTGGTAATAATAATAATAATTTTTTATTTATTTGTTTATATTTTTACTTGTTAATAGATATTTTTGGATTATTTTGGTTATTAGGACTTTGTTTCACCTCGTGGTTATGATTTTATAGGTTCAAATATTGGTAGTAGCAAGGGAAAGACCTAAGTTTTGAGTAGTGGATATATTGAGTTACCTACTAAGTTGGTGTAATGAATTTATAATGTTGTATATATTAATATTTATAAGTTGCCATAAGAATGTATTAGCATATTTGGTTGCACTTGTATAGTTGTATGTGTGTATCTTGGCCCTAAGGTGGAAATATGTGAAATGTGATAGTGAAGGCTGAAATACTATTATAAGTGTAAGGTTATGTGTTTTGAATTGGTTGTGGTGCGTGAAATTTGGCCAAAAGTCAACATATGTATATATGTAAAAAAAGGCCTCATTATGATGTGGAAAAGGGCATTTGAGTGGCCAAATTTAGATGTAAATGTTTAATTGTTGATAAAACTGTTCAATCAGGTGAACAATGTCTCATTGCTTGTGGTCAAGGCCCTATGATGGTTAATGATAGAAGGTTGTGATTTAAAATGCTTGGAGGTGAAAAAAAATGACAATAAGTGGTTACTTTACATTCAAGTATCTAATTTTCAAAATAAAGTTGGAATTTATGTCATTAGTTAGATTATAAGAAAAGCTTCATGTAGGAACTTAAATCACTCAAATCAGATATTGTATGAGAAAATGGTGCACATCTAAAGTTCATGTAAAAAGTTGACATGACAACATTGTTTATTGTCATGAGCACGTGTAGCGTAGCGCATGATGCGGTGCATGACATAGAGACGTGAAAGTGGCTTTCTATGCCACATGCCACGACGCATGTGGCACATGTCACAGTATGTCTTTTTGGGCAAAAATGACTATTTTGCCCCTTTTCTCTATTGTATAGTGTTTATGTATTCCTAACCATTTCCGTTGTGCATAAATACCTATATTCTAGAAGGTTCAAATGTTTTCAAAGATTTTTGAGATCCCATATATTTTTAAAGGATTATTTCCTATATTTTTATTATTTATGACTTGAAGTAATTTAGGGGTTTAATGACTTCTAATTACTGTTATGTGCGTGCTAGGTGTGATTACAGTATGGTAATATCAAAGCGGACATTACACCTTCTGCTCTTCTATTTTTATTGTTCCATGATGAAATTTAAACTCTAAAAGTTGCTCCATATGTTGTAGCATGTGTGCTATTTGTCACAATGGATGGTATAAAAGGCAAGGCCCACTTCCAGCCTATCCAATTGAGCTAAAAAAAGGCCTAATATCACCTATAGCCTTATTCTACACCTCATTTAGAGTTTGATAGGTTCAAAAGTCATCCACTAACTATGATTTATCCTAATTAGCTTATAAATTACCATCTTGCTCTTAATCAACTTAATTAATCTCAATTAAAATTTTTGGAATGCTACGTTAATTGATCAATGACTAAAAATTTGGAGAATAGTTATAGGGTTCTTTTATGTAATTTTTTTATCATTTTCTATTTTTAGGCCATTTTTATAATTTTTGAGTTTTTTTATAACTTTTTATCAATTAATGGTTAAAGTTAACGTTTGTTAATGTTAGTATTAATAGTACACACCAGTTACTCCATGTCTTTGTTGTTTACTTGAGTGTTCTTTACCTGCAAGACACGAGTTCAAACTGGCATCCAAAAATAATAATAATGTTACACTATTTTAAAATGTTGGAGATAATATTATACTGAAAATGAGTTTAGATTATTAATGTTTTTGAACATGGTTCAAAACTTTTAGGGTAAATTTGCCATTTAATCATCTTTTTAATTATTTATGAAAAATTTTTAAAACATGGACATGAGAAAATCAGAAAAAAGAATGAGAATGAGTAAAAATAAAAATAAATTTTAAAAGTATATTTAATTTTTTTAGGGACAATATACTATTTGTTATGAAAGTCGGAAGTGTAGAGTATCAAAAAACAAATAATTAAAAGATTTTATAAGAACAAATTAATAAAATATTTTTTTTTTGATATGCTAATAAAATAAATTTTATTATTTGAGTTATTAATTTTCGACCCATACCAAATTTTTTCTAAAATTAAAATTGTAACCCCGATTAAACACATTCTCGTGAATAGCGGATTCGTTTCTCGTCGTCGACGAACAAGCATTCCACACTCCGTCCGACGCCGTCTGTCAGTCCTGCGTGGTTGTTGTCTGGCAAGCAGTAAAGGATGTTCGAATCCCAGAGCCTTTTCTACTGCCAAAATCGGGTGAGATTGATTTGTTCAATCTGGCTTTGAATTTGTTCCCGGCGTAATCTGTTCCTGCGTCGCTGTTCTTGCTTTGTTTTAAATTTTTCATTTTAATTTGGCTTTGAATCTGGTCGTGTAATCGTTTGAATATTGACGCTTTTGAAATTGGGAATCTTTACATGTTGATACTAGTTTTTGCTTGAATAGTGTGTAATTGGCTATTATTCTTCTTCCCTCTTCATTATGATTACTAGCGAGTTGCATGATTTGGATTGTGTTGTTTTGCAATGTTAGATTTATTGTGTATTGGCATTCTGTTTATTATCATCACTTTTGGAAAATTCTCAAGGTATTTGTGATGTATGATCTTGTAAATGACTTGGCTCGAGTAGTGTCAAGTATCTGGAGCAAAAATTAAAAGGGTATTGTATCAAGTATGCATATTTCAAATATTTCAGTGGGGGCAGATGCTCCCACTGAGTGTAGTATTGGTCCACATATGGATGAAATTGTCAATGGACAAAATCTTTTGAGATTTTAGTTTGCATCTATCTTCAATCTGCATGTGGACATCTTTGTTAATGTTCAACAATGTCATTAAATTGTTTCATGCTTCCTGTTATGTTAATCATTTTCATGCAATATCCATGGAATTTTAATCTTCAATAATATCTATGGATTTTTCCTTTTGGGGCCAAAAATATCTATGGATGTTTAAACATGACAAGGATTACAACTTAAAAAGCTCAAGATAGGATTGTGTTTATGGCTTTTATAATTTGCTACTCATGGCTGTGTCAGCCGAACTTCCATTGCTGATATGCAGAGAGATTGGGTAGAATTATTTCATACCTGAGCTTTTCTGGCTCTGTTTAGTTTTAGTTGTCTTTTCAAAAGAAATAAGATATCTTCCCCTAGTTGTTCTTCTCTGGTATTTTTTTTTTTCAACCTTAAGAAAAGTTGTTCTTTTAATAGAAAATTTTCAAATGCTTATTTTTGTCTCTCGTAATTTATTCCTGATCTTGTTGCAGGTGAAAAAATTTACACTTATTGGTGACATCTGTAAAGTTCAAAAACCTGTCCTAAAACCTAAGTAGAGTTTGTTCTGTAGACTTCTCAACATCTCGTTTGTCCAAAACAGCTCCGACTCACATGGTTTAGCCCCAGAATAGTGAAGAAGGGAGCTTGGTCTGCTGCTGCGTTTTGGGTGAATTTGGAAGCTTTGATGCTTCAACCATCTTGGTAAAGTTCTTATCCTCCTCTTTCGTTTTCCCTCTCAATTTTCCAACGTTAGATTCAGCATTGAAGGAAATCTCCCTCTCTATTTGCTATCTTGATAGTGAGGATTTGATGTCGACTTGTCTAATCCTATGCTACGAAGAATAGGTTCCTTTTCTTGGTTACCTGTTCTTCTTCTGCAAGACATTGGTGTCACTGCTCGTTCCAGAACTCCTCTTGTCATCCTATCACGTTACTTTCCTTGTGTTGTCATCTCCTCTTGTTCTCCAACCTTCTGCACCACAATTGGCGCAGCAGAAATCGACCCCCATTTCTTAAATTTTATGAGAAATAAATGCAGGTTTGGAAGATTGAAAAGTGTTGATGATGCCATAAGATTTTTTCATATGATGGTTAAGATGAAGCCTTTGCCATCCGTGTTGGACTTCACATTATTGTTGGGGGTGATTGTGAAGATGAAGCATTATACAACAGCGATTTCATTTATTAAAGAAATGTCTTCCTTAGGTATAAAATCTGATATATATACTCTTAATATTGTGATAAATTGTCTATGCCATTTAAAGCGTGCAGATTATGGGTTCTCAGTTTTGGGTACAATGTTCAAAGTTGGATTGGAGCCTACTGTAGTGACTTTTACCACTCTTATTAATGGATTTTGTATAGAAGGAAACTTGGTTCAAGCAATAAGATTGCTTGAACATACAGAAAAGGTGGGGTATGAATCTGACATTCACACCTTTGGGGTGATAATAAATGGTTTGTGCAATATTGGTGACACATCTGGTGCAATTAAGTGCCTAAGGAAGTTGGAGAAAAGAATCTGGAAACCAAATGTTGTAGTTTATAGCATGATTATGAATAGTTTGTGCAAGGATGGATTGGTATCTGAGGCTTTAAGCTTGTGTTCAGAAATGACTAGCAAAGGTATTCAGCGTAATGTTGTCACTTACACTTGCTTAATTCGAGGTCTATGTAATTCTGGTAGATGGAAGGAAGCTAGTGCCATACTGAATGAGATGAGGCAAAGGGGGATCGTGCCAGATGTTAAAACTTTTAACGTTTTAGCAGATGCCTTTAGCAAAGAGGGAATGATTATGGCTGCTAAAAGCATAATGGGTTTTATGATTCAGATGGGGGAGGAGCCTGATGTTTTCACTTATAACTCATTGATTGATGGATATTGTTTGCAAAATCAAATGATTGAGGCCACAAAAATATTTCATTTAATGGTTAACCAGGGCTGTTTACCAGATATTGTAAGTTATAGTTCATTGATCCATGGATGGTGTAAAGTAAGAAACATTGATAATGCGATGCATCTCTTGGATGAAATGATTAGTAAGGGATTTATTCCTGATGTTGTTACATGGACTACTCTTATAGGTGGGTTATGCCAAGTAGGCCGACCACTTGCTGCCAAAGAACTGTTTTTTAATATGCACAAATATGGCCAAGTTCCCAATCTCCAGACTTGTGCCATAATATTGGATGGACTTTGCAAATGCCAACTTCATTCTGAGGCAATATCATTATTTTCTGTAATGGAAAAGAGTAATATGGATCTTAATATTGTGATCCACTGTATTTTGCTTGATGCAATGTGCAGTTCTCGAAAGCTCAATGCTGCACGGGAACTGTTTTCTAGTATGCCTGCTAAAGGGTTGCAAATGAATGTTTATGCTTATACCATAATGATTAAAGGTTTCTGTAAAGAAGGACTTTTGGATGAGGCTGAAAACTTATTGACAAATATGGAAGAGAATGGTTGCGTGCCTAATAGTTGCACTTACAACGTATTTGTTCAAGGACTGCTTCTAAAAAAGGAGACTTCAATGACAATGAAATACCTTAAAATAATGAAAGAGAAAGGTCTTGTTGCAGATGCTGCCACTGCTGAAATGCTAGTCAATCACATATCCTCTAATCAAGAAGACATAGCATTCTGATATTTTTTTTAATACAAGAAAACTAATGCATTTTCTTGCATGGATTTAAGAAAGCACACACGACTTTCAGAAATCTGAAGGTATTTCTATTTTAATGATATGTCTTCTCCATGTGAAATAGTAGCTTTGTATGTAACTGCTATATGACTTAATAAAAATCCAAGAGAAACTGAATGACTGTCTCTTTAACAAGACATTCTTTTGAAGAATATACATTACCTGCTTTCACTTCCTTTAGATTATCAAGCGTACAGGTAAACTCTTTTCCAGCAAGTTGTATCAATATTTGTGCACTATATAGAAGTTTATAAATTGCATTTATGATGCCTTTTGAAAAATAAAAACATAGTTTTTTTTTTTTAATAATTTCATTGACATGTGGTGAATTCCGTTTGGACAATTTCTGTGGTATTTCGCCTTAAAAGCACCAGTCCAAGGAGGATTGAGGACCCTTCTGTTCGATATTCTTCTTAAAGGGTACTAGTTGGTCCACATGCAGAGTAGAAGACCCTGCTTTTCTTCCTATTATGCAAGTTTCTAATTTCCTTTTACCAAATGTCAAGGATCTACTATTCTTCATGATCAACTTATTATGAATTTTGTGCTTTGACTGTTTCATGTTTTTACAACTTGAACATGTTTTGCTGATGTCATTTAGCTTCATGTGCACCAATGATGGTTTTCATTGTGGCTTCAAACTAAGTAAAAACCATGTATGGGATTTTAAATTGATTTTGCACTTAATTCACTGAACTTCATGCCACTTTGGAAGTTTTTGTTCTTCCAAATGACTTGATAAGTTTTTGGTGAATATCTTTTTGAAGGTCAGTCTAATTTACTACAAGCTGCATTTTAACATGTACTCAATGTGATTGTATTTGAAAATGTTTCTCATTTATTTTTATAGAAAATTACAATTACAATGATTTCATTCTTTTATTCATGCTGACCCTTTTTTTAATAGTAATATTTTCTCCTGCAAAGAAGTGGCTCTTATATCTGAAATGCTAGAATGCTAAATATTGAAGGTTATTGGATCATTCAACATCTAGAGTTCAAAATTATTTAATCTGGAGCTTATGAATTTTGATACAACCCTGCCCAAAATGTTAATGAAACTACAGAGAAATGAATCCAAAGTAGGCACTAAATGGCAAAATACTGAGTTTTTGCTATTAATGCTTGGATATCCGAATCAGTATTACAAAAGGACAGACTGATTTTGGCCAAAACCCTATTCCCATACACAAGTACAATGAAAAATAAAAGACAGAACAGAACAAAGTAAGGTCCCTCACTGTATTTGAGAGACCAACAATCTCCTCACAACTTTTGAACCTCACAAAACAATGACTGAGAGCACCCAAAACCAGATACAATGTACTAGTAGCAGCCAAAAAGTGACCCACGTGTTTAGCCTGAGATTAAAGCCACTCTACAGTATCATTGCCAATCCCTGATAGCCTGGACCCTTAGGATAATGACCTGAACCTGTCACTTCTTTCTGCTCTAACCCTTGTTTCTCTTTTACTTTCCTTTTATATGTTTGAGTAAAACCAGCAGCTAAATCAAATTTCTTCCACCTGGTTCAAAGGGCATAATGAAAGTCAGGGGCACACAACTGATGAAAGGATACTACAAGGTAAATTATTGTCTAAATTTTAATGATTTTGGTCTATATTTGTGTTTTTTTTTTTCATCTGCCTCTTTGTTTTGTTTTTGTTATGATTTTATAAAAACTTTGGTTTCATTTACAGAAGCTGTTGGTGTCCTTGGTCCGCATTGAGTGTGACATTTGACACTGAAGTAGCTCTCCTTTGCAAAGTACTCTGGGTTTGTTAGAAACAAGAGGCCTTTGATAAGGATGGCTGGCTGAATACAAGATAAATTTTTTATTAATGATTTTTTTTTTTTAAAGTTGGGAGGATCTCCTCATGTGGACTCTCTTGCTTGCTGGCCTCAGCAGATGAGGCAATAATAGGATGAGGGAGTGCCAAGTTTGTGGAAGTCGCTCTAGCAATCTGCATGATGTTTGAGACTGCATATCTCGCATCTATAGATTGACTGTGAATCCACTTACTTGAAGGGAGATGTGCATTGCATGGAACTTTCTTTTCGACTGTCGAGATCTTATTTGAATAGCCTAGATTTTGGATTTTGTGCTTTTCAAATTGTCTTTTTTTTTTTTTTAAGGTCAGATGGAAATCTGTGTTTATTTTTAATTCTATTCGCTTCAAAAAATAAAAATAAAAGATCATGACCATCCAAATCAGATCTGACTGGTTTATGCTAAAGATGTACAGAGGATCTAAATTATCTTTAGGTTGCTGCCATGAGATAGATTGGTCATCCTGTCTGAATCATCCTTTGCTGAAAATTATGTTTTTATTATATCTATAATAGGCTTTTTCAAATGCAAATTTCCTTCTGTTATGACTTACAGACACTGTTGATTGAGACCTCTTAATTAATAATATTTTTAAAAACTTGATAAATGATAGAGCGCAATGACATTATATAATCCATGTAGCTGATCCCACCTAGTGGTATAAAGTTTTTTGTTGTTGTTGTTGTATGACTGACAGAGGGGTTTAGGTTTGGCCTTTGAAACATTTCAGATGCAAACTGTTACAAGTTTGGCATCATTTATTGAGGATTTCTTATTGCATCAGTGCATCGCCATCATCAATAGAGCGTATTTTGTATGTACTCTTTTCAGGCACGGATTTGTCCACTTTCCAACCATACCTACTTTTTCCAGCCTTGCACCCTTTTCTTCATCTGGTATAAAAATTTAGTCTTTATGCACCCCTTTCCTGACTTGTTGTATAAAGTTTATCATCTTTAGATTTTTAAAGAACAAGAAAGCCTTAATCTATTATAAATTTATAACGCAAAAAGTTCTCTCATCTAAATATAACTGAAAAGCTTTGTTCTCTTCTCATATATATGTTTATAATGTTTTATGTTTTTTTGAGCACATGAGCATAACCTTAACTAGTTGCTAATCTAATGATAAATAGGAGTTATATCCTTAAAATTCCAAGCTCTTATTATTCATCAGCAAAATAGCTAAAAATTTCTATATTCTAAACAAAGCATGTTCAAATGAACCCTGAAGAAAAGGATCACTTTAGAAGGCATGAAACTTGAGGAATGTTGGAGGCAGAACTTTTGCCATGAGCATTTGTGCAGGTGGCCCTGGTCTTCATTTTAGGATTAGATGATGTAATTTTGATGTCGTCCAACACGAGGTTGGTGCATCCTACAACATTGTCACACTCCAATTTGACTGCTTCCTCAAAGCTGAAGTTCCCCTGAAATTCCTGTATGTAATGTCACTGATTTTTATAGCCTTTTTGTTGTCAGTTAGAGAAATATTGTAGTGTTGGGTAATGAGCACTGGGTGCTGAACATCTTCCAGTATTATGTCCTCATATGTGACCTTTCTAACATATCCAAATCCACCCTGGTTTTGAACAGCGTAACACAATTGTAGTTAGTCAAAACATGATTGAATGAGAATGTTAATAATTTAATTGTGATGTAAAAATGGATAAGACTAATTAGACTAAATAACAAAATCATAGAGAAAAGAGAGAAACCAGAGTGCAAATAGAATATAAATGATTGTTGGGTCTTTCTTCCTAGTACATGTGTTATCAACTCTCTTGTAAAGCTTTTTCGAAACTTAATGTGCTTGTAGTTGGTTTTGAACATGATTAAGTTGAATTTTTCTGGAAGTTATTTTCTTCAGTTTCTCACTGAAAGTATATTTTTTAATTTAGAACTTCCAATTTAAAAACAACAGTTGATTCACATACACGGGATCATCTTAAAGTGTTTGGGGATTATTTTTGAAAGTTCAAGTTGAAACCTTGATCTTAATTGCTAACGGTATAAAGACACTCTAATATTAATCTAAATATGACTTGTATTATCTTTTTATTACTAAATCATCATTTGTTTTGGATTTTGCAGTTCAAAATCATTTTATTTTACTCTTTTGTGTGTTACCTCCCAAGTCTTGATTCTGGCTCCACTTGAAGATCTGGTGAAGGTGCAGTTTCTGACGTGGATCTCTTCCACTGCACCATAAGTTCCACCTGATCCCAGGCTTCCAATGCTAAACATGTATATATTCACCAGCACACAAGCCACAGAGACTTTTATAGATTAGTTATTGAACACATGTAAATTTCTTGTATGGTGTATGTATAAATATGTATGGATGGATGGATGGATGGATGGATGTATATATGATTGAAAAAGTAGGATTTTGATGTGAGATCACCTTATGCCATGACCAGGTCCGCAGAAGACACCACTAATGTTCATGTAGGAACCTCCATTAATGACCACACAGTCATCACCTTCAGCAAAAGGGGAATAAGCCATGATTAGGGTAAGTTTTCGAATATAGATTAGTTCGTTGGACTGGAATATCCAATAATTTTTAGGAGATGAAGAAGACGCCTCAAATGGGAAGAGTTATAATGATTTTGTGAATGAGAAATGAACTGATATAGTTTTCTTACGCAAGAAAAGTAGCTAATTATTTACCAACTTCCATGGTAGAATCTCGGATTGTGACATGGGATGAGCCAGAGATTCCAAGGCCGTCAGTGTTAGGGCTGTCATTAGGAGCAAGGAGGTGGATATTGGAGATAACGGAGCCATTGCAGCCGTTTATGTTTATGTGACTTGATGGGGTGTTAATTACTTTCACTTTATTGATTCTAAGCTCCGGACATGCATGAAATGAGATGGCCTGCACCAATAACTAACATTCTCAATCAATAAAAAAAAATGGAGGGAATACGGTATAATTTTTTTATTTTAATTTGAAATATTGAAATAGTGAAATTTTGATCTTACACGTGGCCTTTGACATCTAGATTTTCTGAAACATTCCCACCAAGGTGTACCTTGGCCATCAAAAACTCCTCCACCATTGACAACAAGTCTATTTATGTATATAAATTGAAGCCAGCTGCCTTTATCATTGCTTGACCATTTCCAATCATTGACACCTTTTGGAGCACTTATAGTTCCTTGAATCTGCCAATCCATATATAATCATGCTCTCTTCTTAGAAATTATATATATATATATATATATAGCAATCTTACATATTTGGTACATGGGAAAGTGTTATCTAAAAAGAAAAATAAAATAAAATTATAACTAGAAAAAATGAGATACGTGTATTTTTCTCATTTTTCTTTCTAGAAAATATTTGTCTAACTACTAAATATTGCATAAATTTTCTACACATTCCATAAAGTGTGTAGAGCTTGCATGTTTTGTGAATCATATAGTCATCCAAGACAAAAATTTAATTACTGAATCAACTTACCTTAAAATTAATGGATGGAGACTTGCAAGGACCTTGGAAAACAGTAGGTTGCAATACAAAGGTTCTTCTCTTAGGTACCAGAAGGGTTGGATTTCCCTTTGTTGAATCGCAAACATCTTCCCATGCTTTCACAAAAGCCTTTCCACAAATTTCCAGATGGACCAAAATTAATTACCAAAAGGAATACAATTAATTAATTAATTAATATAATGATTGGTAGGATAAATTAACATAAGGACTAGAAAATTTTACTAATTTTATGAGAGAGAGAAAGAGAGAGAGAGAGAGAGAGAGTATATGCATTGTATGTGCGCAGTTTGAGAAATGAGATATAATTGAGTCTTGAAATAGTGATAAGCAATTTTAGAACAATTGAGTTTATAAATTCAAACTCCGTCCAAAAATAGTTAGATGAAAAATGACTATAGTAATGATATTTTGCAAACTTACTTTTGAATCATCGGTGTGGCCATCTCCTAAAGCACCATACTTGAGGACATCAAAAATAGGTTCAGCTTGTGAAGCAACAAAACACAAGGAGAGGATGGCAAATATGCCTTGCATATTCATTTATAACTGAACACACAAGACTTTTTTTTTTTTTTAACTGAGAAAAGAAAGAAGAAAAATCTTTTAAGTGTAGAAAAGAAGCTAGATTTTTACTTGTATCTACGCGACGATAGTTTGTGAGGTCAAGTAAGAGAAACCACCTAGGTTTATATAGACATAGTCTGGTGGAAGACACATATAATTAATTTTTGGGATATTTTGGGATTTTTGTTGATTTCTCCTATGATTATTCCCCATATATTTAATTTTTGCTTTAATCTTTCAATCCATATTACAAAATTTCCATGTTTGAATTCATTAAAGATAGATGTTTCGCATTCTGATTCAAAATTCAAAGGTCAACTATATATATATTAGATGAACGCATTCATGAATCATAAATATTTTACCCTCCATGATGAATAGAGTAAATAAATAAGTAATGAATAATTTAATGAATATTGTATATTATTTTGTTTATTATATATAACTAGAAAAAGGCACCTGCATTACACGATTATAAGAAATTTATGCGCATAATAAAAATTTAAATAAAATAAACAGTATTTCTATCACAAATCCACAGTATAAAATATATTGATGGTCACCTGACAAATAAATAAATAATTCATAAATATTGTAGTAGAATGGAAATATTTATTTAGTTCAATATATTCGCAGATAAATATTTACACATTCAAATACAAAGTTTAGATTACCGTACAGTAAATAGATGTTGCAATCCAATAGAAGCATGTATTTATTTTTGTTCGTGCAAGGATAAATATTTTCCCATTCAACGGCCAAACAATATTTCCACTCTCATTTATAGCATTTAAGAGTTTACCATATTAGCTTCTGGTTTAAATGTATTTACAAGTCAAACTTTTTTTCCTTGAATTCATGAAAAAAAAAACAACTAATATTATTGATAATGATTTTTTTGGTCTGAGTTATTGATAATGATTGTGCGCATTTGGCCACAAAAAAAAAAAAAGAGGATAATGATTGTGTGCATGAATTTAGTCCTATTTGTCAATTTCCATGTACTTTAGGGATTTGAATTTAGCAAGTGACATAAATTCCCTTATTCAATAAATATTTCACGTATGATAATAATTATTTAATTTAACCGAATGAGTGTCAAAAATTTTATTATATAATATTCAAAAAATACTTAATCTCAAATTTTTTTGAATGGGCAGCGTACATGACAAGTATTTTGATGGTGATGTTATTTTTAATTTTTAGATAGATTTGTATCTCAATTATTTTTAAGTGTTAATGAAATCTGATAAATGTCTTAAAACACTCATTGAGTAAATAGATTTAAGCCACTCATTCGATTTAAATCCTTTATTTTGTCTTTCTTCCTTGCATGTGTATTAGTATATGCACCACATGTATATGTATATGAAAATACTAGTGCCACTAAATCAATGTATACTTTTTTCAGGTAAAAAAAAATCAAGGCATTCTTTTTTGTTAAAAAATATGTTTTTTTTATATTTTTACCCATCTTTATAATTAATAATTATAATAAATTTTTGTTTTGGAGTTAAATGATAATAAATAAGGGATAAAATTGAAAAAAAATATTAATTACTCTAATTTTTCCTTATATTGAGGAATTGAAAAAGCTTCCAAAATTTGGCTTGCATTAAGAACCAAAAAAAAAAAAAATTTACCCTTCAAACTATAATGTTGGTGGAAGTCGGAAATTAACTACATTATTAATATAATTGAAATAAATTTAAATAAAGAAAAAAAGATTTAGAAGTCAGAAATAAGGATCAAGGTTCTTCTGCTCTAAGTACTTAATAGAGAAAATGACAGTTAGATTTTAAAGAAATGAATTAATGATAGTTAAATTTCTGAGACCTAATTGACATTTTTCCTATTTATTATGTTGGAATATTTTTAAAATAAAGAGATCTATTTTTTAAAAATTCATATCCTTATAAATTAAGGAATTTTTGTAAAGAGATATATAAGAAGCTATAATATTAACAATCACAAAGATCATATCTCTCTAATTCCTAAAAGCACCTTAGAAGGTTATATGAAAGGAAGTATTATTTCAAAAAAAAAATTACATATTAAAAAGACTACTCTTTATAGTAAAATTATTTTAAATAACCATTAGCTATTAAAGCTATTTTAAAAAAATTTCTAATCATATGAATAGTATCTTAGAACCTCAAAAGATACTAATATTTTGACTTTTAAAGGAGATAACATGCCCAACAAAGACCTTCTACTACATCAGTGGTGCTAGAAAGCAATAATATACATGATTTTGAAATTGAGACATGTGACAACACATACATTAAAGATGCCAAATCAAACCATGTTAAAATTTGTGCTCCTGCTCTAGATATATAAGAGTTATATATATATATATATATATATACACACCTTAAGATTCCATCCTCTATTATCCATCAGCAAAATAGCTAAAAATGTCTGTATTCTAAACAAACTATGTTCATAATGAACCCTGAAGAAAAGGATCACTTTAGAAGGCATGAAACTTGAGGAATGTTGGTGGCAGAACTTTTGCCATGAGCGTTTGTGCAGGTGGCTCTGGTCTTCATTTCAGGGTTAGACGATGTAATTTTGATGTCGTCCAACACAAGGTTGGTGCATCCTACAACATTGTCACATTCCAATTTGACTTCTTCCTCGAAAGCTGAAGTTCCCTTGAAACTCCTGTATGTGATGTCACTGATTTTTATAGCCTTTTTGTTGCCATTTGTTTGAGAAATATTGTAGTGTTGGGTAATGAGCACTGGCTGTTGAACATCTTTCAGTATTATGTCCTCATAAATGACCTTTCTAACATATCGAAATCCACCCTGGTCAAAACATGATTGAATGAGAATGTTAATAATTAATAGTAATAAGATTGGCGGGTGTTTAATTAAATGATTGATGGAGAAAGAGAGTAACCAGATATTACAACTAGAATCTATGGGCTTGTTTGGTTTCTGTTCCGATTTTTTATTTTTAAGAACTGTTTTGTAATATAATTTTTAGATTTGTGTTTAAAAAAATAAAAAAGAAAAGAAAATTATCTGGTTATATTACTTTAAAATCAATTTTAATATTAAAAATACGTTAATAGTAATGATTGTAGGCAATTAATGATGGTGATTTATGATAATAGTTGATCAAGCTTATTATATTTTTCAATAATAAAATGTAATGTGTTTTTGGAAATAAGAAAAATAAAATAAAAACAAATTTAAGATATTTCCATTTTTAGTTTTTAAAAATAAAAAGTGAGAACAGTTTTAAAAACAATTAAATAAAAAACACTTATCCAAATGAATTTTTTAATTTTTTATTTTTTAAAAAAGAAAACAGCTTTAAAAAAAAAAAGAAATCAGACAAGCCCCAGATGATTGATGGATGTTCCTTTCTAGTATATGTGTGTGTATGGTATCAACTATCTTGTAAAGTTCTTTCTAATTAAACTTCATGTGCCTACAGTTGGTTTTGAGCAAGATTAAGTGAATTTTCTGTAAGTTCTTTTCTTGAGCATCTCTCTGAAAGTATCATTTTACTTTCGGACTTCCAATTTAAAAACAATATTTGATTCACATACATGGGGCTCATCTTAAAGTTTGGGGATTATTTTTTGTAAGTTCAAGCTTAAAAACCTTGATCTTAATTGCTTATCAGCATAGAGACAGCCTAATATAATCTAAATATAACTTGTTATTATCTTTTTAATACTAAATCATCATTTGTATTGGATTTTTCAGTTAAAAAAATCATTAAAAAAACATAATTTTAGGTCCCTGTGCTTTGCTATTGATCCTTGTACTTTTTTTCAGCATTTTAGGTCCATATACTTTTATTTTATTTTATTTCTAGTGTTTTAGGTCCCTCTATAAACAAAGCGCAAAAACTCTGGAGGCAGAGCTGACGGGCTTAACCTGTTTAAACTTGTATAACAGTAAGGCTGAGCTCATAAATGTGACCCTAAAATGGTAAATTGTGCTTAAATAGGCTAGCTCTAAAGGGCTGAGGGCTAGCTCGTTTAAGTCTACATTACATTTTTTTTTATCAATTCTCATGACTTTGACTCTTCTTGGATTTAGAAAAAAATTAAACTAGATTTTTCTCCACATCACATGTAAGCCCACATTTACTGTGGAGGGAATGCCAAAAAAAAAAATACAACCCTAAATCTCCTAATTCATCTAGATTCATGACAATAATTCATTCAGTTGAGCCTTCACTCTTTATTCTTCAATATGCTTCTCTTCCTCTTGTTGCTATAAGTTATCCTCGCTCTTCAACAAGTTATCGCATCGCCATCCCCGTCTCTATCATTGCAACTCATAAGTCATCATTGCGTTTGCTTTTACTCACTCTTCTGTTGCCCTTGTTGCTAACTCCGATTAAGAAAGAAGTCTCAATAGTGATCAACTAGTTAAAGCTCGCTGTGATCGATCTCCAATCCCAAGTCTTCTCGTCACTCATCGTGTTTGTACATTTGTGACTCGTGAGTTATGCTCTAACTGATGCACACATCGTACTTTTGCTCTTTGTTTTTCTTTATCTTTCAATCCCATATTTCAAACCCTTAATCTCATCTAATCTCAATTGAGTATTTGTTGGCTTAGCTGATCAATTGCTTGTTGCCTTATTGTCATTTCATTTGCATTTTTTGTTCATTTAGTTGTTGTTTAATTAGTTTTCTCATTACTTTCTTAATTGAGTATTATATTAGAATGAAGTAATTTTTGTTTGATGAAAAAAATTTTAAAAAATAAAAATAGTTAAAAGGGCCTAAAGCCCATAGGGCCAACCCTGAACTCGCTATGTCGAGGACCGAGCTTTATATATTAGAATCTTAAAGAGTACTCAGACTTAAACAGGATTGACTCTTTTAGGTTCAAGCTCATCAAGGGTCGGCCTTATAGGATTAGGCCAACCCGTTTTTCTAACTCTACTTGGAGGGACATAAAACAATGAAAAACAAAAGTGTATGGATTTAAAACACATAAAAAATACAGAAACTAATAGTAAAAATGAGCAAAATACATGGATCCAAAATTATGTTTTTTCAAAATTATTTTATTGTTCTCTTGTGTGTGTGTTACCTCCCTAGTCTTGATTCTGGCTCCACTTGAAGATCTGGTGAAGGTGCAGTTTCTGACATGGATCTCTTCCACTGCGCCATGAGTTCCACCTATTCCCAGGCTTCCAATGCTAAACATGTATGTATTCACCAGTCACACACACAACAAAATCTTATATAGATTATTTATTCAACAGGTTCATTAACCAAAAAATGATTACAACCTGGTCAATAGGAACAAATTACAAGCTCCTTTCCTTTCATCATTCACTATATTAGTGCAGGATGGTGGTGGTTGATCAAAGATATTAATGGTTTGTTTAATTTCTATTTTTAAAAATTATTTTTTATTATGTTTTGTTTAATTTCTATTTTAAAAAAATTATTTTCTATTTTAAAAAACAAAAAAATCGTGGAGTAAGTGTTTTGAATTTAAATATTTTTAAAAATGTTATGCTCATTTTTTACTTTTAAAAGAAAAAATAGAAATATGTTAGAGCTTTTTTTATTTTCTTTATTTTTAGTTTTTAAAATGTATTATATTTGATTATTATAAATTAACTTAAACTATTAATCAATCATTATCATATACCATCTTATTAACGACATTGGTAACCATCACTATCAGTCATTTTTTTAACTAAAATTATTTTCAAATTAATATAATCAAATAAAATTTTCCATTTTTTGTTTTGAAAACCAACTTTTAAAAACTAATTTGCAAAATAGTTATTAAAAATTAAAAATGAAAACAAAACCAAACAAGTGCTGAAACTCCCAACCCCATCATGGTATTTGTAGCCAAGAGATTAACATAACAAGTAGGATTTTGTTGTGAGATCAAATCACCTTATGCCATGACCAGGTCCACAGAAGATGCCACTAATGTTCATGTAGGAACCTCCATTAATGACCACACAGTCATCACCTTCAACAAAAAAGAAATTTAAATCAACCATAATTAGAGTAAGTGGAAGGGACTATTTCTTCTAAGGTAGAAACTTTCTCCAATCAGGATACAACCCAGTGTATTTGAATCTAGAACCGTTGATAGGAATATAATAATTGAGTAATTTTTAAGAGAGTAAAAAGATGACTCAAATAGGATAAGGGGTGCACAAGGCCAATCATTACTCTTGCCTAGTGCCCGGCTCGAGCACATTGCTAAGGTTGGGTTTGGCCTAAATTGAAAAACAATTTTAAAAGTATTTTCGTTGAACAAAAGATATAATTATTATTTTTTAAAATATATTATTTATAAAACTAGTATTACATCAAAATTAATTATTTTTAAAATTATAAATGATTAATAACTATCAATTATTTTACATAATATTGAGTTACAAACCTATTTTAAATTTTGAAAGGGATTAGAAAAATTAAAATGATAAAAAATATTTAAAAATATCATAAAAATGATATACGACAACTCTCAACAAAAATAATAACATAAAATAAATATTTTTTACAAAAAAGTTTGTTTTAAAAAAGAAAATGGCATATTTTTGGGCTAGGTTGGTTCGGCCAGGGCTTGACCCTTGCCTGATGCCAATCCCAAAGCTTGGCCTAATGACGCCGTATGTTTGCCAGGCTTTCAAGCTACATGCACAGCCCAAACGGAAAGAATATAATTATAATTATCTTTTTAATACAAGGCAAGGGAAAGAGTTGTGGAATGAGGCAAAAATAAATGAGATCACGATCAAAAATCATAAGGTTTCCATGCACTGGTAGCAAATGATTAAAGATTATGATATTTAAGTTGTCTTAAAATGCCTAGTGCCAAGCAAACTAGTACATTTATTTGCTTTTTTGAGCACTTTAATAGTCATGAGTTATAATGATTTTTTGAAAGTGAAATGAACCGGACTAATATTCTAACTCAATGAAAAGTTAGAGCAGATAATTCAGGTAGGTCATACTTATTTGATTCAGGCTCAATTTAGGTCGGACTTATTTAAATCGAATTTAAAATATTCTACCCATTCTAAAAAATTCATATACTTAAGTCCAGCCCTAATACCTTTGGGCTTCAAGCTTATTCGGCAAGCCCGAATACCCGAAACTTTTTAAAAATATTTTTTTATTTTGTGAACCAATTTTAATTTTTAAATAATTTGTTAAGTATAAAATATTATTTTAACTTTAAAAGAATAAAATAAAAAATAATAATTTATTAACTTTGTACTTAATTAGCTTTGTATTATGTGTAATTTATTTATGAATGTTTTCTTTACTTATAAATTAATGTTTTAGTTGTTTAAATATTGCTCATATCATAGTCATATATAAATATTTAATATATTTTTTAATTATCATTAATTTGACCTCAATTCAATCCTGGTTAGACTACTAACTTAAAATTTATTATCCCAATCAATTTAAAGCTTTTAATAACTTTTGGATAAACTTTATTTTTCATTTTTAAAAATATGAAAAAATAGCCATCATAATATTATATAAAAAAATTATTTATTTATGAGTGAAATACTATTTTTTTAGGAATTTTTTTTTAAATTTTTATATTGTTTAACCCTTACATATAAAGAATTTTTACTCTATTTTATTCTAAATTTTTAACTAGATATGGTATAGATGATAATCAAATAATTATTCAAGAATATTTTATTTATTATGTTTATTTAGTAGTTGAGTTGGAAATTCAAACATGCCCAAATTTTATTTTTAAAATTATTTTTAATTTTATTTTTACTTTAAAATTAATTATATTATTTTATAAAAATATAAAATATATTTTTTGGATGCGCAAATGATGTATAGGACTCAAAACTTTTTTTAAAAAATTGGATGTTACAAATATAAAAATTAATATTAAAATATATTTTAAATATGATTTTGAATTATCTTATTTATTAAAAATAATAAAAATATGAAAATATAAATACTTTTAATTTTTTAAAAAATAACTATAGTAACACACTAAAATATACAGTATTTTAATATAAAATGATATAAAACTTAGAGAATTAATTAATATTTATTATATTTTATATATTTTTTAAAAAATTTAATTTTTTATTTGGGTATTCAGGCCAAGCCCAAACCCGATTATGATTGGCTCAAATTTTTTTGGGTCTATAAAAACATTTAAAAAAATAATTTTTTTTGGACTTAGTTCTAAATTTTTCAGGTCAATTTAGGTTAATTTGTTAGGCTTGATTTAAATTACTAACTCTATAAAAAGTAACTTGACTAAACTAACTAACTAATTTCCAACTTCTATGGTAGAATCTCGGACTGTGACGTTGAATGAAATGAACCAGGGACTCCAAGGCCGTCAGTGTTAGGGCTATCCTTAGGAGCAAGGAGATAGATATGGGAGAAAACAGAACCATTGCAACCGTCTATGGTTAAGTGACTTGATGGGGTGTTAATCACATTCGCCTTACTAACTTTAAGTCCTTCACATGCATGAAATGATATAGCCTGCACCAATTACTCACCTTCATAATCAATATGAAATATGGGTTAAAGGTCATTTTTTCTCTTAAACTTTTTTCTTTAAAGACTTTGCATCTTATATTGATGAGTAAGGTAATACTTTTTTGAGCCATCTTTTTTGGGAGTAATTTGTCCTTCCATTAAAGAATAGGCAATTTTACAGTGATTTATTTATGTGGATTACAAGTGAGCCCCATTGAACATCTAACCTAACTTATTATTATAGGGTTAAACTGTTAATTTGCCCTGAACTCTTTTTTTGGATGGGCATTCTAAAATTTTAAAAATAAAATTTAATAAATATTTATTTTAATAAAATATTTTTAAAATATTAAATAATTTAGTATTTAATAATTTTAATATTATTATTTATAAATATTAAACAAAAACTTGTAAATTATTTTTTAAATATTAACTATTCAAATTAATTTTTAAAAAAACTTTTGATGATTTATAAATTGTGTGTGAAAATATGTAAATAATAATAATAAAAATAATAATAATAATAATTACAAGTAAATTATAAAAGAAGACCTTATAAGAAAATTAAAATTGATTAGACCCCTTAAATTTTCTCTGTCATTCTCTCTCTCTCTCTCTCTCTCTCTCTCTCTCTCTCTCTCTCTCTCTCTATTGTTAACTAGCAGTCAAATTTCAAATACTTAATGGAAGGACGATGTTGTTCCATTTTTAATACATGATGGCGCTTAAGAAATTATTTTATTTAAGTAAAGTCTCAACAAATTTTAAAATGTAAAGTAAATCTCAAATCTTAATTGGTAGTTTCATATAATGCAATATATTCCCAATTTTAAAATTAAAAAAATGAGTTGTAAATTTAACAAGATAAAATTAATTTTATCCATTAATTTGGAGGTTCACTCCTTTTGTTTTTAGTACAAAGTTACAAAATATCAAGATGTTAAATTTGAATAATGTAATATGTTGGAGGAAGACTTATAATTTAGCATATTATTTTAATTTACAAGTTACTTATAAATTTATGAAAAATAGTTGAGATGTTAATATTTAAAATATAATTTCTCATTTTTTGTGAATATTTATAGATAATAATATTTAAATTACTAATATTAAAATGTTTAATAGTTTAACAAGATTTTACTAAAGTAAGTATTTACTAAACTTTATTTTAATAAGACTTCAGCCCACCTAGCGTTTCTGAAAAAAAAAAAAAATTCAGAAACAAATTAGCACTTTAACCCTATAATAATAAACTTGATCAGATGGTCAACAGGGCCTACATGTAATCCACACAGGCAAATCATGGTAAATTTGAAAATTATTTAATGGAAGAATAAAATTGCTTCACGAAAAAATGATTTAGGAAAAACATTGTCTCTCTTGTCCGTACAAAAAATCCCGTGCATCTTGAAAAAAGATTAATGAAAAAAATTTAATCGTTAACCCTATAAAATATTGATGAAATACTACATAAATTTTTTAATTTATTTTGAAATATTCAAAGGGTGAGATTTCAAACTTACACTTGGCCTGTGACATCTGGATCTTTTGAAACAATCCCACCATGGTGCACCTTGGCCATCAAAAACTCCTCTTCCATTGACAACAAGTCTGTTTGTGTATAGAAATTGAATCCAGTTGCCTTTATCACTGCTTGACCACTTCCAAGCATTGACATCTTTTGGACCACTTATAGTTCCCTTAATCTACCAATTCATATATAATCGTCTTATCTACTAAGAAAATGATACACTCATACACACACAGAAATATTCTCTCTTTCCATACTATTTATAAATCACTTTTAATATGTTTAACTGAAATTTAAAAAAAACTAAAGAGTTATTAAATCTACTTAAAAATTTAATAAGCTTTCAACATTTCTCTTATTAAGTATATACCTTTTAATGACATGCTTCACCTGCCTACTTTATAAGATATTTTTTGACAAAATTATGCTTATCTAATAAAGTTTATTAAACACACTTTGCAATCTTATTTTTTAAAAACATAAATATCCTTAATTTAATATAATCTTATTTGTAAAACATTAAATAGAGATAAAATATAATAAAGAGGGAGGATAATATTGGACAAGTATAATAAGTTATGAAACCTTATTTTTATTAAAGTGTCTTATATTTTGGGATACTAAATTACTTCAAAAAAATGTTTTATAAAATGGGATGAAACTCTCACTAATATTTAATGATCAAAGAAAAAATTTATGATAAAAATTAATAACTCGACTTATGAATAGCACAAAAAAAATTCCCTCTTTACCTTGTATATATTAAATGTAAATCTTACAGAGTTATTAGTATAAATATCATTTACACATTTTGCAAAATGTATAGAGCTTGAACATTTCTGAATCATCTAGATCATCAAAGCAAGAAACATAACTTCGAGAAGTAGACCAAGAGAAAAAAATTATTATTATTATTATTATTATTATTGAATGGACTTACCTTGATAATTAATGGATGGAGACTTGCAAGGACCTTGGAAAACCGTAGGTTGCAATACAAAGGTTCTTCTCTTAGGTACCAGAAGGGTTGGATTTCCCTCTGTTGAATCGCAAACATCTTCCCATGCTTTCACAAAGCCTATCCAATGATTTCCAAATAATATTGTAGCAAAATTAATTATCCAAAGGGATAAAATGAATTAATTAATATTATTTGCAAACTTACTTGTGTATCATCAGTTTGGCCATCCCCTGAAGCACCATACTTGAGGACGTCAAAAATAGGATCAGCTTGTGAAGCAACAATGCAAGAAAAGAGGATAGCAAATAGGCCTTGAATATTCATTTTTAGAACTGAACACACAAGACTTTTTTACTTCACTGAGAAAAAGAAAAATCTTTCAGTGTAGAAAGGAAGCTAGAATTTTACTTGTATATGATGATGGCTTGTGAGCTCAAGTAAGAGAATGACCTGAATTTATATATAGTTTGGTGGAAGAGGCATATAATTAATAATTAACTTTTTGGGATTTTTGTTGATTTAATTAATTTCTTCATATGATTATCCACCACATATTTAATTTTTTTTTCTTTCAATCTTTTAGTCCATATTACTGCATTTCCATGTTTGAATTCATTAAATATAGAAGTTTACGTATTCTGATGCAAATTTCAAAGGTCAACTATATATTAGTCTAAATGTATTCATTAATCATAAATATTTTGTCCTCCTATAATTTAAGAAATGGAGTAAATAAGTAATTCTTGATTGATGAGTTAAATGAAGGGAGATATTGATGTGTTAATGATATTAATAAAAAGAATTTGTTATGGCTAAGTATATAAGTTTTATTTCTTCATCTAATGAATATTATATATTTACTATTTGCCTCAATTATTTTGTTGATTATATATAACTAGAAAAGAGGCACCTACAATACCCGAGTATAAAAAATTCAGAACAAAAATTTAAAAAAATAAGTATTTCTATCACAAATCCACAATATAAAATATATTGATGATCACCTTACAAAATAAATAATTAATAAATACTTCTTTTATTAAAAATATAAAATATTTTTAGTGTTTCAAGATATAATTAATGTGCTTTTGTCAAAAGTGCTTATGATAAATGAATTATTTTATCTTTATTTTAAATTAAAATACCTTATTAAATAAATAAAGATACATATGAAATTATATTGTTAGTTTAAAAATAATTAACTATTTAATTGGGGGTGCAATTTGATTAAAAATATCTTATATTTTTAATAAGAGAGTAGTGCATAAATAATTAATAATATAATATATTTCTATCCATGCATTTATTTGTTAATTAAATGGATAATATTTTTTTAAGCAGAAGTTAAAAAGTACATAAGATTAAAGGACATCTTCCTGGCGAAAACTGGGGAGAAAAGTAACATATTGGTACTCTAAGTGAACAAAAAAGTCATATTCTTTATAGTAAATAAATCAATTTATTGTTGTATTTGACTTCACCATCTCCAATGTTTATAACAATGCAGCACATCCAAATTATTAATAGGATCATCTCCAATCCCAATGGCGTGATTCTTTTAATTAATTAAAAATGTATTCTCTTCATACTTATATATAAAATATCATTTAAAACTTTTTTGTTTTTAAATATAAAAAATTGTTAGTATTTTTTTTATGAATAGATTATTATATCCTTATTAAATTAAAAAAAAAGATAAGTACTCTCATTAATTTACTTTAAAAAAAGAGATTCATTTTTTATTTACAATAATTAGAAAAAAATAAAGTGTTACTATGCTTTTAATTAGATAACCAACTTTTATTGTTTTGAGTGATTTAGTTGAAAACATCTTATATATGGAGATTAAGAGAGTAATGGTTGTTTTATCCATCAACCTAGAATGTTGGTGTGCTATGAGAAATTATTAGATAGATTGAGTATGCTATGTTATTTGTTATCTGTCTAATAAAAATATGATATTCAGATAGTAGTAAATATAAATTGATTCTGATATCAATGATACAAAGAGAGAAAAGGCAATAAATTAATTATGTATTCTATTATAAGAATAAAATTAATTAAAATAATGTCATGTAATATTTTATTTAAATGACTTGAAGCATTTTAATTGGACAGTCACAAATGACGTGGTGCACCTGGCCTACTTAAAAATTTCTCGTGGTGTTGATCTTTGTCATTTGAAATTAACTGTATTATTGATACTACTCTAGCTTTAATTTAATTTATAAGATATTTTTAAACAAAATCAGACATATCAGTACATTTTATTAAATATACTTTATAATCTTATTTTTTAAAACAAATATAAACTTTTAAAAATATCCTTCATTTAAGATTCCATTAGTAAAAATATATTAAAAAGAAATAATATGGAAAGGGTAATATTAAAAAAGTATCGTTAATTAAATTTTAATTTTGTTAAAGTGTTTTATATTTAAAAAAATGAATTTCACCAAAAACGTTTTATAAATTGAGACTGGGGGAAGTATAATTTTTGCATCAGCTACTATTTTTGGTGGGTTATGCCAATACTAGTTACATGTTGCCCAATACAATAACTGTTTTTTAATATGCACAATTATGGCCAAATTCCCAATCTCCAAGACTCGCGCCATAACATTGGGTGGACTTTGCAAATGCCAACTTTATCATGTGGGAATATCATTATTTGCTCCAATAGAAAAGAGTATTATGGATCTTAATATTGTGATCCATTGTATTTTGCTTGATGCAATGTGCAGTTTTGGAAAGCTCAATGCTATAAGAGTTTCTAGTATTCCTTTTTAACATTGTATGGAAATATGGGTTAACTCACCCAGTTAATTTGATAAACTATTAAACAAATGTCTTAATCAGCTTAATTTTGATCACAATTAAATTATGGCTTTGACTATTAGGAATTGAAAACCGAATCAGTTATTTAATAGGTCAAGGTACTGGTTCAACATCTAAAAATGTATGTAATTGGGTTTAGCCTTTGAAACATGTTAGATATAAACTTTATTACAAGTTTGACATCATTGATGGAGGATTTGTGGTTGCATAAATGCCTCTCCATCATCAATGATAAACATGTTTACAATAATAACGAGAAATTGGTTCTTTAACCCCTTTCCAGAGAACCATAAAGAAGTTTCTAATGTTTACAATCTGAAATATCACAATAACAATCCATCAACCCATAGAATCTTGTGATGACACCTTTGACTAAGAGATTCAGGCACACTTTCGGATTCAATCTCTTCTATTCTTATGAATTGATATGGAATTATATTTAGGTTTATGAACTTGGTTGCAATCATTTCTATAGTTTGAATATGAATTCGATTGATTGGTTAGGAACAAACAATTCCAACATTATATCCTTAAGAGTCAAAGCTCTCATTTTTCATCAGCAAAATAGCTAACAATTTCTCTATTCTAAGCAAACTAATTAAAGTTCAAAATGATGAACTCTGAAAGAAAAGGATCACTTTAGGCATGAAACTTGAGGAATGTTGGAGGCAGAACTTTTGCCGTGTGCATTTGAGCAAGACGACCTGGTCTTCATTTTAGGATTAGACGATGTAATTTTGATGTTGTCCAAGACAAGGTTAGTGCATCCTACAACATTGTCACACATCAATTTGATTGCTTCCTCAAAATATGAAGTTCCTCGGAAATTCCTATATGTAATGTCACTGATTTTTATAGCCTTTTTGTTGCCACCAGTTGCAGCAAAAGCAGTGTAGTATTGGTTGATGAGCACTGGGTACTGAACATCTTTCAATATGATGTCCTCAAATATTATCTTTCTGACATACCCAAATCCTCCCTGGCTATGAACAACGTCACATAGTTTGGTCAGAACATGATTGAAAGAGAATGTTAATAACTGCTAATAATTTAATATTTAATATTAATAATGTAAAAAAGGATAGGATTTAATAGATTAAAGACTACCATCATAGAATACTATCATAGTAATTTTTATCACAAATATATATATATATATATATATATAATGAAATAGAATCCAATACTGGCACAAACATTAATGTTCGAAAGACACTGATTTAACAATTTAATGATTCAAACCTGCAGGTTGACCTGAATTTTTATACTGTAACCTTTTTCTTACCTCCCAAGTCTTGATTCTTGCTCCATTTGAAGTTCTGGTGAAGGTGCAGTTACGGACATGGATCTCTTCCACTGCGCCATAAGTTCCACCTTTTCCCAGGCTTCCAATGCTAATAAATATAATATATTCACCAAAAAGTACCAAAAACAATTGGATTATTTATCAAACACTTGTAAATTTCTTGCATATGATATATATATATATATATATATAAATTTTTGAATGGACTTGATACATCACATCATTTATACACAATCTAATAAAAACATGCTATGTCACATAATTGTAAATATAAATTAATCTTGTAATTAATGATTGTAGAGAAATAAAAGGCAAGATAATATTTCTATCAGTGCTCCCCTACGTAGATCCCTCCAGCCTCACACGATGGGGTTCGGTCCCACTTTTAATTTCTTTGAAAAAAAAGTGGGCGGGGAAGGGGGAGGATCAGGAAAGAGTCACCCTTGAGTATGAATGAGGTGGTACTTCTAATGCATGTAAAAATTTTCCAATGTACGCGCACACGCGCATACACAAACAAACATATATAGACACACACATATGTATATATTAATGAAAAGTATAAAGGGTATTTAAGTGACATTACCTTATGCCATGACCAGGTCCACAGAAGATACCGCTAATGTTCATATTGGAACCTCCATTAATGGTAATGCAGTCATCACCTTCATCAAAAATGCATAGGAATGAACAGAGAAGACCCAAAAGGGAATTAATCAACCAATGACTAATTAGGATAAGTACAAGCGATCCTCTATCTTTTTTAATTTCTTTAAGATGCAATGTTTCTCTCCTTAAGAACCTAATGTATTTGAATATTAGTTGGTAGTAGTATGATATCGGATAGTTTTCACAAGATAAAGATGATAACTCAGATAGGTGGAGTTAAAATGGTTTTGTGAATGAGTCAGGTTTTCTTACACAAGAAAAGTAATATTTAAGTAAACAATAATTTTTAAAAAAAAGGGAGAATGACAAGTAAGGACTTTGTAAGAAAGTTAATATCAAATTAGAAATTTCAGTATTAAAACATGAAAGAAGGAGTACTGAATTTAAAAATATTAGTGTTAAAGAAATCCTAATTTGACATTAACTTTCTTTTAGGGAGAATAACAAGTAAGGACCTTATAAAAAAGTTAATACTCCCACTATCTCAAAATTATAAGACACTTTTAAAGAAATTTCTCCATCTCAAAATATAAGACACTTTGGGTAGATTAAAGTTTCATTAAATACACCAATTTTAATGTTACCCTTTCTCTCTCTATAATTAATTTTTGTTTCTTCTCTTTTGAATATATTAAATGATGGATATTTTTAAAAATTTATATTTTTATTTTAAAAAGATAAGGTTGTTAGGTCTATTTAATGAGGTTTATTGATATGTGAGATTTTGTTTAAAAGTGTCTTATAATTTGACATCAAATTAGGAGTATTTTGTTAGGTGTATTTAGGAGCATTAAATTAGGAATTTCAGTACTGAAATATGAGAGAAAAAGTAATGAATTTAGAAACATTAGTGTAGAAGAAATTACCAACTTCCATGATAGAATTTCGGACTTTGACATGGGATGATCCAGAGATGCCAAGGCCATCAGTGTTAGGGCTTTCGTCAGGAGCAACAAGATGAATATTGGAGACAATGGAACCATTGCAACCGTTTAAGGATATGTGACCTCCTGGGCTGTTAACCAACTTCACCCTCCTAAGTTTAAGGTGTTCACATGCATGGAATGATACAGCCTGCACAAATAATTCACATTCATAATTATCAATGCTAAATTTAAACGATGCAGAAAGTTACATATTGTTAATGAACCGTAAATATTGTTGCTCCTCTCACAATTCTTGGGTTTATGTGCATTTTTGTCTTTTTATATTCATTTATTATATTTTTTTTCACTTGTAAATGAAGTTTCTATTTTGTATTTTTTTCCTTTTTTTTAAAATTTCTTCACTTGTCAAGGAAAACATATCTAGTTTTAGTATGGGCAAGATATATATACATACTTAGTTTTATATTCTTATATACTTATATTCAATTAAATTATGACAAATGAATTTTAATGTATTAATAGTATTAATAACAAGAATTTATTATAGAATAAATTATTTATAAATATATATATATATATATATTTTTTGATTTAATTGAGAACAATCGCATTAAGTGTACATCTAAAGTTGAATATATAAGTTTTTTTCCTTTTACTTTATACTATCCCAATTTCTATTATAAAACACATCTAACCTCCCCAATCCTCATCAGGAGAATTAAGAAAATGTAGTTACATGAAAATACTTCCCTGGTCATTAATTTCATCAGAAAATATGATAAAATTTTAATTTTACTCATATTTAAATGAAAAAAATTAAAATTCACAATACATTCTCTATCATGAGTAATGAATTTAAATTGGGGTCATGTTAAAAAAAATAATTAATACCCCATGCACCAAGTATTTTATACTAAGGACTGTCAATTTTTTTTTTTAGATGGTATCTTATCAATTATAATAAGAACAGCATCCAGTAAGTCTTTTGGTATATTTGTGTTGAAAATGGTTCTCACTTGTCTATTTCTGAATGTATAATATTTATATTGGTTCAGTTTTACAAAAATTCAAAGAGAGCAGTTTCAATGCACCAATTTTGAACCATCCAAACCAATCAAGATTTAATATTTTTTTTATATTTTTAATGGATGCAAAATTTTAGATAAAGATAATCTCCTAATTCTCATATATATATATATATATATTACAAAAATTGATTTTTTAAATTAAAATTTTAATAGTATTTTTGTTTTGATAAAATTGATTATTTATTAATAATTTTAATCAATTAAACCATAAGGGCTTGGTTGAAACAAAATAAATTATATGGTTAGTTGTTGTAAGGACTTATGTGTGACATATCGTTTGAAACCTAAAAATTAGGCTAACCCTAAATAAAAGCAAGGATTTTGTGTTTGGGATATCTTTAATATGGGGAGCTTATGAATTTATACTTGAAGGAGACATTGGTAGGTTGTCTAAATATGAGTGGACTAAAAACAATATAGAAAGTTTCACATTGAATAAAGTTAGGCTTAACAACTAATATAAAACAAAGAGAAATGATTTATAAACTTGAATTTTAAAGTTTTGAATTAAGATAGCATCCTTTTACTATTCTTGCTTGTCTCTCCTTTCCCCTTTTCCTAGGTAGTTTCTCCCCATTCTCAACAAATACTATCCGATATAATTAAAAATTTTCTAAAACTAGGACCTATATACTAATTTTTTTCAAAAATTTTAAATATTGACCGTTAAAATTAGATTTAAACAATAATTCAAATCTCACAACATCAATGACACTACAATGAACTTACTCGAGGCCTTTGACATCTGAACTTTTGGAAACAGTCCCACCATGGAGCACCTTGGCCATTAAGAGCTCCTCCACCTTTGACAACAAAACCATCTATGTACATAAACTGAATCCATGCTCCTCTTTCACTGCTTCGCCATCTCCAACCTTTTAATTCCTTTGGTGCACTTATGATTCCTCGAATCTGCCAAAATCATGTTTTCTGGTTCGGTCAAACACGAACTAAGGAAGAAAATAGTTTAATTTAACGTTTAGATCCTTTATAAAACAAATGTAAAAACAAATTGCACGTCATGATATAATTCAATATCCAGTATGTAATTAACTTCTCCCCATAGGGAAGAGAGTGCCATATGCACACATGGATCACTCACACAGCGTACACGAGACACATCAACTACCTATCCCCCACACACCTATGGTCCCATTTCGTTGCAAGAAATGAAGGGCCTTTTTGGTTTTCTATTGGTCAAAAGTCAATTTGTTAAAAATTTATTTGATAAAAATTAATTTAATAAAAATCAGATGTGATAATGAAATCTGTGCTTGAATACAATTTTTCAAAAATCAGCTTGATAAATTAAAAGTTGTTTGGATTACATATATTGTAATGTACTTTTAAATGTATAATTACTGAATAATACATTTATTTTTATTATCTGTAATTTTTGTTATATAATATTTTATATTAGAACAATTTAAATATAATTATATTTTTCTAATAATTTTATATAGCCCGCATCTTTTTACAAGGCATTTTTGAGAAGGGTATTTAATTCTTATCATAAATATTTAATTATCATAAAATGCGTTTAAATATGAAATAATTTGATATTTTTTATTTAGTGTTATTGAATTAAACAAGCCTTTAATTTTATCTTGTAAGAATACAAAAACTGGGAGTATAACGCAACTAGTATGAAAGTACAATAAATGAGGTTTTTAATTTAATTTAATTGGAATGCTGATGATGGAACAAAGGGTAGAGAGCTTCAGAGTGATGAATGATGCATAAGTTTTGCGAGTTGGAAATGTACTTTCAGTTTGAAAAGCTCTAGAAAATAAGGTTAGCCAAATGTACTTTTCAGCCTAATTTAAGTACAAATTGTTTACCAAACAACTTTTAACATTCTAAAAATGTAAATTGACTTCTTAAATGTGAAATGTGAGGTTCCCAAACAGACACAAAAAGAATAAAATGGATTAAAAAATAAATATAAAAATTAAGATGATTAAAATATAAAGGAGATATGTAAACTATATTCAAATAGGAGAAGGGTACGTGATTTAGTTTGCGAGTTATAATTTAAGAGATTTTTTGAAGAGTGTAATAATTCTCACTTTTATAGTATATAATATGATAAATTTTATCATGCTTACTATGAGTATGAAAAGAAAGGATAATTTAATTTATTTTGGTTTTGATTTTTTTAATTCATTTCATTCCCATATTTTCTAGCAATCAAACAGGATCCAAATTCTTTTAATCCCCCTTCAAGCCACGAGGGGAGTGAATTCATAATCCTTTGCGTCAAGGGGAGAATTCATGCCACTACATCATAGTTTATATCCACTAAAAGGAGCAGTTGCTTGTAAGTATTTATATATGGAATCCGTTGTTTCACTTGTAAGTCTAAATTCTCTGCGAATTTGAAAACACATGCACAGTGTTTGGCTGATAAGAGAAAACAAAGATGAGAGAAAATGAGAAGAAAGAAAATAGGGAGAAGAGAAGAGTAAAAGGATGTAATTTTTATAATTGAAAGTTTTTTTATCGAATTTCAAATTTTATTTATAAAATTATTAAATATACTGCCATCTAAAAATTTAAAACTACAACAAAATATAAGAAAATGGAGTGAGGCAAGAGGGGCAGAAAACAACATTCATAGGTAAATTTAGAAATAGAGTTTTCTCTCCAAAATCTATCCATTTTTTGAGAGAAAAATTAGGAGAAAAAACATTTGAATCCAATTTTCTTTCTTTAGCCAAACATATAGGAAAATACAGCCACTCACTTTTCTCTTCCCCACTGTTCTTTCCAACAAAGCCTATGGCAATAGAGTTTACAAATTATTTATCCGAATCATCTAAATCGATGCAAAAGACGTGTAACTATGAGAAGGAAACCAGAATAAAAGAGATAACAAATGCATTGAATTGATTTACCTTAAAATTAATGGAAGAAGACTTGCAAGGACCTTGGAAAACCATAGGTTGCAACATAAACGTTCTTCCCTTTGGTACAAGAAGTGTTGGATTCCCCTTTTTTGCCTTACAAACATCTCTCCACGCTTTCTCAAAAGCCTATGCAGTCAAAGAATGGTTCATATGTTTAGACTCCGAGCAAAGAACAAACAGGATTAAGACGAGGATGATGACAATGGTGACATTATATAGCAAACTTACATGAGAATCATCAGTGTGGCCATCTCCTGAAGCACCATACTTGAGTACGTTAAAAATAGGTTTAGCTTGTGAGAAAGCAACAAAACATAAGAAAAAGATAGCAAATAGGCCTTGCATAATCATCTAGCACTCAACGTACATACAAGAACTTTTTACTATAATGGAGAAAAAAAATTGTAGAAAAGAAGGCTAGAATTTACTTGGATGTATATGATGGTTTTTGTGATCTATAGTGAAAGAAACGACACGGGTTTATATATAATTAATATTTTTTTTGGGGATTTTTTGATTTCTCCTATTAATATCCCTATATATTTAATTTTTGCTTTAATCTTTCAGGCCATATTATAGAATTTCCTGTTTGAATTCATTAAAAATAGAAGTTTACACATTCGGATGCAAAATTCAGAAGTCAGCAGTATATATTAATTTGAATGTATTCATGAATCAAATATTTTATCCTCATATAATTTGAGAAATAAATAAACAACCATTATATGGATTAAATGAATATTATACATTTACTATTTGTCTATTATTTTTTATGTAACTAGAATAGGCCCCTACATTATACTAATAACAAATCTTGCGCCCATAATAAAATTGAAATAAAATGAACTATAATTATATCATAAATTTAAAAATACTAAAAACTGACCCAATCATTAATCTAGTCAAAGTATTGGTCATTAAATAGGCATCGGTTATAATTGTCTCTCCAAGATTTCTAGTTCTTGACTTGTTCAGGAAGAATCTATGCAATACTAGAGACATTCGTATAGGTGGAATAATCCTTAAAGACAATTAATTTAGTCAATAATACAATTTAATGATTATAATAAATATTTCTTATTCTAACCAAAGTGCTTAAATATGTTGGTCTACATTCTTGATGGATTGGGTCAAGTGAGCAAAGGCCCAATTTGAGTTAAATAATTATTTATTGATTAAATAATTATGGTAGTATTGGTTAGCAAGAGAGGGAGTAATTGTGGAACTACTTAAATTTCTACTGTGATATATAGGAGGTTTTATATTAATCTAGAGACACGACTCAAAAGAAAAACTCCCTCTCTCTCCCTGTTTTTCTCATCTTTCTCTCTTGGTGAGTCTACTGTGAAAATCCATCTGAGGTTTGTAATTGTAACATGGTCTTGCGTGTGGTTCAAGAGAAGTCCATATATTGTCATTGGAGGTACGTTTTTGCACTCCACCTTCTTACATTGGTATCAAAGCAAGAGTTATTTATGTGCTTGTAACTTGTTTTTTTCTGCTACAATCTCATATATATTGTTGTTATTGTGATTTACTTTGAGAAGAAATAATGCAAATCAATTTTTATTTTCTCCGTTGTGTATTGATGCTATGTATTATTCATCATGGTTTTGGTTTTTCTGGGTGTATAATGTTTATTGAAAGGAGAAAACATACCAAAAAATGTTAAAAAGATAAAAAGAATGCTATATCAAGAAACAACCAAAACTTTCATTTTATTGGATCATCAAATATGAGAGTTTTAGTCTGAATGGTTGGCACCATTGTGTAAAGGATGAAAAAAAAATAAAGAAAATGACACTAAGAATTCCAAAAATAGAGATTAAACGGATAAGTTTCGAGTCCAACAAACTTAATTAAAAGCTCCGAATTGAGTCAGAGTGACCTTGCTAAAGGTAGGGGACGACATAAATAACATGGCCGAAATGATGCGTTGTTTTGCCTATCAGTGACCTATTTAAAAAAAAAAAAATAGGTTATGGGCTTCATGTTTTTGGGCCCAAATCTATAAATAAAAAAATGGGCCCTCAAAGTATTTGGGTTTTAAAAAGAAGACTTCTATAAAAAAAAAGTTTTGGATCTTTCAAGGGGGTCAAACTAGGTATGAAAAGAAGAAAAATATGCCGAGTGGCGAGTGGGGCCTATTGAGGGATCCAAGGGATACGTGGACTGCACCAATTGAAAGGTCTCGACATGTGGAGTCCAATAAGGCAACATGTGTCGTTAGAAAAGTCGTGGTGCATGTCATTCATTCTCCCTCTAAGAGAGTGGGTTTTGCTAGAATTTTTAATTTTTTTTATAATTTTTTATCTGAACTTGTTCTAAGGGCATGTGGAGCATCCGATTAAGATGAAATTTGCTCCTAAAAATTCCTAAATGTGATATCTACAGTTTGATATGTAATTGACCTGTTTTTTGGCACTTTCAGATCAATTAATAAGACTTTCAATGATTATATGAGTATTTTAAATATTTAAAAATTATAAAAATAATTATATTTATTTAAATTTCTATCATATGGATAAATATAAATTGAGTCACCAAAAGCACTGAAATGTTGGATAAAGTCTCATTTTTGAAGAAAACATTTATTCTAAAATGTGATCTTTTAAGTGAGAATTATAAAATAAAACCTTTGGAGGCATAAATACCACTTGGTGAGGGTTGAGAAAGTGATCCAAAAATTGACCCAAATTAAACTGGCTATTGATTTGAACCAAACATGAGCAAAATTTAAATGAAAGTTAAATATTTCCTGTGAAACAGTAATGGTAAAAGTACAATAAATTTGAAGATTCATAATTAATCTTGAAGGGGCTTTTCCAAGAGCATATAAACAACCATGAAGAAAACCCTTATAGTAGAGCATAAATTAATTCCTCTAAATCATTTCTCAGGTGAAGTATTAATGCTTCTTTTGAACTCAATTAAAAGAGGAATAATTTTTTTACCAAATAAACTCCTTATAATATTTAAGGAGATAAAAAGCTTTTATCATAGAAAATAAATATGATAAAATGGAAATCAATTAGAATGTATATTAATACCCTTAAGTTGAGAACCTTCTTAGATGATTGTCTTGTACTTTTGAATTTGTGTTTCAAAAACGTACAAAGACCATTTTTTTTAGATAGTAAAGCATGTTTTAGAAGTTATTTGATTAAATGCTTTAATACAATTGTTGCATGCTTTATTTGAGTTGGAGCTCTTGAAAAATGAGTTTTCTTAGAGTCATAGATAAAAATCTACTTTGATTTACTTGTATAAAATTATTGATAGATATTCGTGGCATTACTAGAATCCATGTGATGAGAGGTACAAACATAGTTTCTTGATCATGGACCTAATGGTGTCAATTTTATTCTAGTTAAGAATTATGCAAGTATGTCACACTGCATGCTTAACTGTACTATATTAATGAAAATTTCTTTAGTTCAATTCAATGATAGAAAATATTGTTCATGTGGAATAGTTTTATAATTGAATTGAGAATGGCTACCAAGAATATAATTGCTGAATTGAATAAAGGGGATAAAGTAAATGGGGACATGTAAGATATCTGACATTGAAAGGTCTCATACATATTAGAGGAATAAGATGCCGTTGAGCTATTGATTACGACAATGGTGGAACTTGGAGTTGGGAATACTACCTAACAAAGGAGGAATCATGAGGCTTACATGGCTTGGAAAAAGAAAAACAGTATAGCACACATTACTTTATTGAGTGTAGTGGTTAATGACCTGATGTGCGAGTATGAGAAATACATCACTACTCAAGCTATGTGGATCACACTAAAGTATAAGTTTGAAAGTACTTCCACTATCAAACTAAGAAGGTTGACAATAAAGTTTGGCACTTATAAACTAAAGTCTAATACTCATATGAGAAAGTATCTGAATGAAATGGCTAATATGATTTGGGAACTAAAAGAAGCTAGGCACATATTTTCTAATGAATAGAAAGTTCATGATATTATAAGATCGCTCCCTTCTAGATGGGAGCATATGAAAGTGAATATGACCCATGACAAGAATATCATCACTTTTGACAATGTAGCAAAACATCTAAAGTTCAAGATGAATGCCTTAAAGCTTATAAATTGCAACAACACACAAATTTTTTAGTAAAATTTAGCAGAAGAAGAGCTGGTTTAGTGGGCACTCTACTGCCATTTACCTAAGTGATCCTGAGTTCGAGCCTTCCAAATCAAGAGTGGGATTTTTATAATTTTGTTTCAGCCTCAAATTACCATTTTGCCCTTCTGTAAAAAGAAACAAATAAATGAAGAAAAGTAGATCAAAAACATGAGAAACACACGCACGCACCGCCATTCTTCTCTTCCCCTCCTTCTAAAATTCAAATGTTCGAAAGCCAAGGAGATCAATCTTCTCTCCTTCCATTTTTCTGACGTTCGTCCTAGCGACCGTTGACAGCGTGGATAGTGCTGGAGCTTCTTCCATCCTTGTAGGATTCTAGCTCATGAATGCTTCCTCCTCCTGTTTCGTGTCACAGATCACTCAACCCTGTCGGCGTAGAGCTTGTTCGTCTGTCACCATCACTGTTGAAGTTGCCGTTCGTCGTCACTGCAAGCATTTCCAATGAGGTTATGAGCTCTTCTTCTGTTTTTGTGTGGCGTTGCTGTCCAAGCTTCCTTCCCCTATTATGCACCGTGCACTCTTCCTTCCTCATTTGTGTTGCTGGTGGTTTGATGGGGTAAGGAGCTTCAATCTATCAGTTCCTTGTTGCTGCGCGTATGTAATTATGGCTTGAGATTGTGAATTTTTCCTCTCTGTTTGTTTGTTTGTTTGTTTGTTTTTTTTTTTGTTGACTGTGAGGCATTTGAAGTTGGAAATTTGATTCGTCTGAGTATAAAAAATTTATATATGTTGAAGGAGTTAAATTGGAGAGCTATATTATTTCAATTATTGGTATTAGAAAATTTGGAGAATAAAATTTGAAGTAAGGAAGTTTGGTGTTAATTAAAGGATTCATGTCTTTAAGATGCTCAATAAAATGACCATTAGGAAAGTTTTGCTTGATCTTGCATTTTTTCTGAAATTTCATTGGTTCATTTGAGGTGTATGTTAGTGTGGGTGTTATTGATCTATAAACTAACATCAAGGTCACATGGGAAATTTGATTGTGAAATTAACTTGTAATTATGTAAATTCATGAGATTGGGTAGTTGTTCATAAATTATATGATAATAAGTTTGAATACCATGAAGCCCTTTTGAGTGAATTGAGAAATTAGCTATGTCAATAAAGAAACTTACGTTTAAGTGTTGGATTCCAAAGTTTAAAATTTATAATCGTTATTTGTTTGTTTGTGTGTGTGTGTGTTAA